TGCCCCTTCTCAGGGTGGCCGTCTGAAGAAGACAGGACCAAGAGAAGAAAGAACTGGAACCCAAGTGCAGAACTCCCAAGCTGGGCTCTGAGGTTTTCTCCTCTAGACTGTTTACTTGGGGAGGTCAGGCTGGGACTGGCTTGTTTATTTTCCACATTTTCCCTCCAAATCCTTTTCTGAGAGCCCTCCAGATCCCTCCTTGATAAATTTCCTGGGAACTGGAAAAGAGGACAACCTCCTGAACAGACAAGCAGCCTTTGTGAAAAGAAGGAAGGTAGGTGGTGTGTTTGTAAAGCCCAAGAAGGAGTCAGTGGATGGGGAGAAAATAGAAAGGAGAAAGGAGAGGGGAGAAAGGAGAGGGGAGAGAAAGGGAGGGGAGGGGAGGGGAGGGGAGGGGAGGAGAGGGGAGGAGAGGAGAGGAGAGGGGAGGAGAGGAGAGGAGAGGAGATACCTACATAAGATACCTCCATAAGATAAAAGGTTAGTCTTAATCTCCAGACTTTCCCTCTAGCAGCCAGAAGAGATCCGGGTGTGGATGAACTCCCTGGGGATATGAATTGTATTTGCTTATCTTTACTCCCCATAAAACCAAGTACATATAGCTAAGTACAATCGAAAAGGATACTCACTCCAGTTAGAGGACCAGGGTTAGATTCTCATCTCCAATGCTTACTACCTGTGTGACCTTGGTCAAGTTACTTAATTTCTCTAGTCCTCAGTTTCATTATCTGTCAAATGAGGTGTTTGAACTAGCTACCCTCTGATGTCCCTTCCAACATTAGATTCATGACATCCTTAAAGGAGGAAGGAAATTCAGTTTGATGTGACTCCCTGTGCTTGTAAAAACAGCTACAGAGTCAAAGGATGAGACCTTGGCTGGGTCTGGGGGTTGGAGGGAGGTTCCATTTCTAAACTCTCAGAAATTAATTGATTAATTAAATCAATTTAATTAATTGATTGCAATAGCCCAGAAATATTGACCTGTCCCATTTGTAATGAAAGAACAAGACAGCTGGTCTTAGCAGCTCTCCTCCGGCCTTTCCATTAGGGCGCCAGGCTTCTCCCTGGCCCCGGCTGGGGCAGCACTGCTAATGCCCATTCTGGAAGGGAATGAGAGGGACGTGAAGGGCTTGGAATGTCTTTACAATTGGGTTCCCATGGTTCACGAGGAGTGGGATGGGGATGGGGAAGGGAAACACAGAGCTGCTTGTTAACACCCTCCTCTATAATAGGCCTCCAAACATGACTTTAAGGGACATGACTCTCCCTGGATGTCTAGTGCCTTTTTTTAACCAGCGTTATGCTGGTAAAAGTTTAACAAGTGGCTCTCCAGGGGGGATTAAAAGTACCCAGGCACACTTTTAAGTTTAATCTGCAGGATTTACATTTTCTCCATCACTTTTGAAAGTCTAAACAAGCAACAAAAAAACAATAGAGTCCCAATTGTAGTTTTTCGATTTCTAAGGTGTAAACGCTCACACCAAAAACTCGCAGTAGGTTCTTGAGAGCAGATTCAGCACAATCTGCTTTTAACCTGGGGTCCAGAGGCAACAATAGTTTCCATTTACAGGAGACTGTACTATTTACAAAGCACATCTTTCAAGATAACCTTGTCCAGTGCAGCAACAGGTCTCATTTGCATGAGGCCACACTCAGAGAGATAGAATAACTTATCTAGAGTCACACAGCTGGGAAGTGGTAAATTTGAACTCAAATCTTCTGTATCAGCATGACACGGTGGAAAAGCACTGGATTTGGCATCTGAGGACCTGAGTTTGAATCCCAGCTCTGACACTGCCTGTCTGACTTTGGGCAAGTCCCCTCTCTGCGCCTCAGTTTCCTCATCTGTAAATGAGAGTGTCAGACTAGATGATGTCTGACATCTTTTCCAGTTCGAAATCCCATGATTCTGCGTCCAGGGTGGTTCTTGCTATTATATGATGCTGGCAAAGAAAGGTGATGCGGGGGTGGTGGGCAGCATGGAGAGCTCCCTACATACAGCTGCTGCAGATGAGAAAGCCTGGCATAGCACCTGGGTTATGGGACTTACAGTTAGTAAGACCTAGTAGGGTCAAATGTTGCCTCTGATGCTTACTAGTTGGGTTGAACAAAGATGACCCCCAAGGTCCTTTCGGGCTCTAAAATCCTGGGATTGTAGGTGGCACATTGGGTACAGCCTAGAGACAGGAAGACCTGAATTCAAGTTTGGCCTCAGACAATTACTGGCTGTGCGACCCCAGGCAATTCACTTAATTTCTATTTGCCTCAGTTCCCTCCCCTGTAAAATGGAAATAATAACAGTACCTACCTCCCAGAGTTGTTGTGAGGATCAAATGAGATAATGTTTATAAAGTGTTTGGTACATAGTAGATGCTTAAAAAATGTTTCCTTCCTCCCTCCCTTCCTCTTTTCCTCTCTCCTTCCCTCCCTTCCTTCCATCCTTCCTCCCTCCCTTCCTTTTTCTCTTCCTCTTTTCCCTTCTTCCTTTCCCTTTCTTCCTCCTTTCCTTCCTTCTTTCCTTCCTCCTTTTCTTCCTTCCATCTTTCCTCCTTCCCTTCCCTTTTCTCTTCCTCTTTTCACTCCTTCCCTTCCCTTCCCTCCTTCCATTCTTTCCTTCCTTCTTTCCTTCTCTCCTTCCTTCCTACATCAGGACTTTTTAACTGCTGTTGGGACTTGTTGGGTACCTCTGAAGAAGTGAAAAAGCTCAGGGCAGCTAGGTGGCACAGTGGATAGAGCTCCAGCCTTGGAGCCAGGAGGACCTGAGTGTAAATCCGGCCTCAGACACTTGAAACTTACCACCTGTGTGACCCTGGTCAAGTCACTTAACCCCGATTGCCTCATCAAAAAAAAAAAAAAAAAGAAAAGAAAAGAAAGAAAAAGTGAGAAAGTTCTCCAGCCTTGGGATAAATGTGATAATGTGATAATAGTCATGATCTAAGTACACCTTGAAATTGGGTTTTGCCAGCGGGTATGGGTGTGAGTCTGCCTCTATTTCCATCAAGGCAGGTTTTCATGCCTGAAACTACAAGAAAATCTCAACAACAATTCTTTGCCAGGGGAGCTGAATTCCTTGTATTTTCCTACCCAAGCCTCCCACACATCTAGGGAACCTCTGGTCCGGCATTAGGAAAGAAACACTCCTAAGATCGCCTGGTACCCAGGGTCCCTGAGGCTGGAATGTTTCTGTTTCTCAGACACTCTCCTAACCCCTCCTGAAAGAGCTCCAGGGAATGGAAGTGAATGCAGGGTCTGTTTGTTCCCCAGAGCTATGCGGGCTTGTCTCGAGGCACCTCCTTCCCGCCTCCTCCCCTGCCCTGCCCTGTACTAGTGTGGCTGGATGCCCCTGTACAGATGTGGCAGCCTCCTGGGACATTCCTGTCATTTTGTCTTCAGCAAGGAGGCCCAGAGGGAGTGACTGTCTGTCTCTGGCACGTGACCCTGGACAACTTTCAACCTCATAGTGCCCATAGCCAATGCTCCTAAAACCGCTCAGTTAGAAAAGGGTGGCCAGTCTTCATTAGTGAAGGGAATGTTCCATACATGGGAGTTCTCCAGAACCAATGAAAGTGCAAATTAAAGAATACTGGAAGATTTACAAAACACTTTCCTCCCAGTCATCCGGTGAGGCAATATGAGAGACAGAAAATTTCCTGCCCTCAAATTCCTGGGAAAACACTCACACAGCACCTTGCCTCTAAGACAAAGTAACCTAAACTCCTCTTCCATTAAAACCCAGTGGGCATATGGGTGGATCTAATGAGATCGATTCCTTTCCTCCTGCTGGATCAGTAAATCAGTCCAAGAAGTGATAGGGATGGGTGGGTCCTATTAATAATAATAATAAGATCTTCCTGCCTCTCTCCTGCATGAAATCCTGTGGTACACACACACACACACACACACAGTCTATTCTTCCCCAGCCTCAGTGGGAGTTGTGTGTGTAACTGATATGGCTCAGTAGGGGCTGGTCTCTGGAGCTTGTCCTACCTAACAGGGCAACATACCTCCATAGTGGTTACCATGTCTAGCCCAACCTCTGAATTTTACATCACCCTGAGAGGTGATGACTTGCTTAAGATCACACAGCATTTAAAGTCCTTTACAATCAGCTTAGATGCCAACCTATCTTTCTGGACTTATTACACATTATTCCCCACCTCATGCACTTGGCGTTCCAGCTAAATTGGCTTAGTTAGTGTTCTCTATTCAAAACAATTGATCTCCCACCTCTGCACCTTTGCCTAGGCTGTCCCCAATACCTACAATGCTGTCTTTTCTCAGCTCTGTTTCTTGGAACCCCCAACTTCCTTTAAGGCTCAGCTCAAGTATTACTTACTCCAAGGCTTTTCCTGATGTCCCTAGATATTAGTTCCCTACCAAGTGATTCTGTGCTTATCAAGCACCCTTTTGCCTGGCACATGGTAAACATATAATAAGTGCTTATTGACTGACTGATTTTGTATTTACTTTTCTGTGTACAAATAGTCCCCACCTCACAGTAAGACTTTTTTCTGTCTTGAATACAGTAGGTGCTTTATAAATGCCTATTGAATTCGATAGCTGATAAATGGCTGAGCCAGAATACAAGCCCTGGTCTTCTGACTCTAACCCCTGTATTCTTTCAACTATCCTCACACAGCAGCTAAATCACAAGGAATGAGTAGCCTTTTGCCTTTGGTATACAGTTCCTAGATAGAGGGCTCCCCTCCCCAATCTACAATAGGGCGCTTTGGAATCCCAGAATGACATCCTATGTAACAACCATTTTTTTTTTTTTTACTACTTCTCTGTGTCCAAGAGTGTGAACAGGAATGAATTGAAGGATAATTTCAAACACAAATGACAAGGCTCATGTCAAGTCTTCCTGTTTATGCTTCTCCCCTTCTCCCCCAGATCCCCACATCAATTGATTTCAGGACCTGCACTGGATAACAGGAAACCTTAACTAAGCTTTCCTCTGCTGACCCCCACCTCCCAGTTCCTGCTCAGAATATACTCACAAGAGAGCTGAGTTTGTAGGCCCCACTCTGGCCTGCAGCAATGCATCTGTCCACCAAGGCAGCAGAGACTGTAGATGCCAAGACCCCAGGGGAGTTCTAAATCTGGTGGACCAAAAGGGAAAGAGTGGAAGGTCAGGATAGATATACTGGCCGGAGGTGCAGATGTTAGGTTAAAAAGTAGGGAGGTGAAGGGAATAGATCTGCATGGAAAGCCCCCAAAAGACTGGAAAAGCACCTAGCACCCATCTCCAGGTATGGACTTCCCCAACACTGGAGTCTTCAAGTGGAGGCTGGAAGCCCACTTGTGGAAGGTGCTGGTAGACCAACCTGTCCCCCAAGCTTCCTTCCAGCTCCGAGATTCTGTGATCTGAATCCCCTAATCTGCCTTAGAGTAGCTACTAGGGGAAGGAGACAAGAGTCGTTAAGGTGGTGAATATTACAGTATCTGGAAATGGCGATATTTGCTCCTTGGCTGACCCAGCCCTGACTGACCCCAGAGGAGGCCGACTCTTGTCTTCAGGGTATCATAAAGTCATTGTCAGAAACGAGAAAGGGGTTGGTCAGAAGAGCAAGAGGCCACAAGTGCCAGCCATGGCCTCTGGCCAAGACCAGACTGGGCCTCTTTCTGTGGGACCCTTCGGTCTTGTAGGGCCCCTCTTTAAAGGCTAGGTCCTCAGGTCCCCCAACTTACTCCCAGCCAGGAAGCCACTCTAACAGGGGAAGGAATTGAGGCAAGGCAGGGAAGACGACCGAGCCTCTCGTTTGCTCCAGGTTTCTGCTTCCATGGCCCAGCATCAGCTCTCCGGGTCTGCCTGCCTTCCCCACTCTGCTGACGGACCCCAGCTGCCAGGCTCTGGGATTTGTGAATCACTATGTCCGCTCCCCTAGCTCCCCTCCCTCCCTCTGCCTGCCTGCCTCGCCTCACCTCCGGAAGCGCTGCGCACACCCAGACACATCGCCCAGACACCAAGTTTCCAAGACCCAACTGCAACTCCGAGGCCCGGCCGAAATGCTTCTTTTTTCCCTCCACCCACCAGTTTGGGGGCCTGATCCTGACTTTACAGAGCTCTGGCCAACTCCTCCCCTTCTCGGCACCCAGCTTGTTCCGAGCACCTCCCCACTGGCTCCAGCCCAAGAAGCCGGCTTGTTCGGGTGGGGAGGGGGTTGAGGAGGGAGGAGGAAGGGGGAGGGAACGTGCGAGGGGTGAAGATCTCAGGGCTCCTAGCTCCAGGGCGCCAGGGTGTGCTAGGCTGGGCCAGGGGGTGCGTCCTAGAGCAGTGGGAGGCTCACCTACTCCCCGCCCCAGCCCCTCAGCCCCGTCCTCTCTCCTCCGGTCTGCACTGGGCCATGATACTCGTCCGATTTGGAAGTTTCGAGCTCACTCCGCTGCCCCGGGCCCAGGGGGCTACGCTGGGGGTGATTTGGAGGGGATAGAGGGGTCTGAGGCAGGGGGCGCATGGATTGGCCGCAACGCCCTCTCTCGCCTCTGACTGGCCTGAGAGCCTACCAACAGTCCTCCCTCGGGAGCTAGGGCCCCCTCCGGCCCCACATCAGCAGTGGGCCAGGGAGGGAGGGAGAGAGGGTAGGAAGGAAGGAAGGAAGGAGGGAGAGAAGGAAGGAGGGAAGGAAGAAGGCTGCCTTACACTGCCCAGCCTCTTCTGGCCGGGGGCGGATGGCTGGCTCTCCGGGGATGGAATCGCGAGCAGGCAGCATCCGCTGGCAATTTTCTCCTCTAGGCTCCCGCTGGAAGGAAGGTCCTGCGCCCAGAGACCGGCAGCCCTCCCTCTCGCCTTCTCTGTCCTGGGCTCCTCTCGCAACCCCCGGGCCCAGGGGCCGGCTCGGGCTGGGCGATCACCGAGCCAGGGGAGGAGGCGCCGGCGGCGGCGGGGGAGCCGAGGAGCGGCCGCCTCGCCGGGGTCCCATGTGCCCGGGGCTCCGAGGGGGTGCCGGAGCCCGTCCGTCCCGCACAGCAGCGTCCGCTTCTCCCTCCCCGGCTCAGGCCGCTACTGATCTATCTCCGGGCGGTGGATTCTTGTAGCCCTTCCAAGACGCCTGGGGATCCCTCCTCCTCTTCCTTTTCTCGCCCCCACCCCCACCCCTTTTCGCGCCCGGCAACTTGGGAACCGTTCGCAAAGTTGGTGCTCCGAGATGGGCTCTGCAGGAGCCGAGGCGTCCGCGGCACAGAAAGGAGGAGAGCAGAGAAGGGAAGGACTTTCCCAGACCCGTGGCCCCTCCGCCCAACGCCTGCCCTCACCCTACTCCCGCGCCCTGCGCCCTAGCTCCCACCCCCACCCCCGCCTCCGGGGAGCAAAGAACGAACAAGGACCCCTGTGTGCGCCTTTGTTCCCTGCGCGCCTCCCTGGCCGGCCTGCCCTGCACCCCCCTCTTTGGGCTGCCTCTCTGAAGCCTCTCCCTGTTCCTCCCCGCCCCTCAACTGCACATCCTGCTCCTTCGATGGGTACTGGGGATCCTTACGACCAAGGAAAAAGGTGGGATACCCCTGCTCCTTTCCTCCTATTTTTTTCTCCTCAGCTTCATTCCCTCGGGTCCTTGCAGAAATCCCCAGGGCTCTTTGAAAGTTTCAAAGTCTCCCCAGTCTTCGTCATGTTCTCCTACCCATCCACCCCAGTTTCCCTACACAGAGGCCCGAGGGTCTCTGCTCAACTCTGTGACCTCTGCTTTCAAAGGCGAGGCCAGAATCTAATTGTCCTGTGCCAAAGTCTTAGGTCTCAGACCTAAGCATGTTTGGGACGTGACCCTGTGTTGGTGAAGGTGAAGGTTACACCAAGACAGCATAAATTCTGGTGGCCCCCACCAAACTGGAAAGTTCACTTTTCTCATAGCAGGTGCTTAAATAAATGCTTGATGAATAAATGGTTGGATGGATCAATGAATGAATGAACCTATGAATGAATGAATGAACATATGAATGAATGAATGAATGAATGAGCTTCAAGGCCAGAGCCCACATATGTGCCTATTGGCTCAGGCCCACCAAGGCCTTTAACTTTCAGATGTAAATTCATGATTTGTCCCCCCCCCCACTCACTCAGAACACCCAGGGAGCTCATACCCTTTGTCCCTCTGGTCCCCAGCTTCCAGTGCCTGACTGAGCAGTTCTCAATGTCAGACTTCTAAGTCATCAGACGTCATTAGACCCACTATGGGAACAACAGAGGAATGGGAGCATTTGGGTTCTGAGGTTCCCAGTGCATTAGCTGAACTGGCAAAAGACTCTGAAGAATTAGCAGCCTTCTTTGTATGTTTCTCATTAATGCATCAGTGTTAACATCAATGATTCATTTTACTTACATCCAATTGATGTCTGGGGAACTGTAGACAGACATGATCTAAATCATCCTTCGATTTAGGATTCCTGTGATTATTTATTTCTGTGCGTCTGAAGCTTCATGGTATAGTGGTAATAAATCATACATTGTCTTTCAGGAGTACCAAAAGTAAACAGCAACAATAATTTAGTCAATATTTCCCATCCATCTGGATAGTAGGCATAAGTTCCATTAAAAAAAAAGTTCTTTTAATGCCTTTGTTTTTTACGTTGTAGTATTTCTGGATTCACCATTCTCCCTCCCCCATATCAAAATGAATCCTTCCTTGTAAAGCTGACAACAACAAAATAAAATTAAGGAAAAACAATGCAGCGACCAACAATTGATGCAATATCTGACACTTTGCCCCCCAAAGTTTCTCCCTCCTTTCTGCCAAGAAGTGGGAGGCCCAGTTTCATTGTCTGTTACTTAGGACTGAGACTGGTTCCTTTCCTTTCCATTTTTATAGTCATGGTATAATGTTCTTTTGCTTCTGCCTATTTTGTTCTGCATCAGTTGATGCTGATCTTCTCACATTTCTCTAAATTCTTCATTGTCATCATTTCTTATTGCATAAAAATAATTCCATTCAAATTCCCCACTTCGGTCCCTCATTCCCCAATAGTTTTTATACACTCTTTATTCCCAAAAAAGATATCAATTTCATCTTATAGGTGGGAGTTTTTGAGTTGGACAGCAAAGCACACAGATTGCTAAACTAAATTGACTCACAGGACCACAGATTGGGAGTGGGAAGGGACATTAGAATTATCTAGTCTAACACCCTTATTTTACAAATGAGGAAACAGAGGCTTAAAGATTCCACAGGTAATAAGTGGCAGCACTAGAAGAGAGTAATGGCATCCTGATTCCCGGGGTTCCAAGTTCTCCAACTAACCTAGGCAAAACAATGTTTATGATTTTGTTTGAAAATAGCACAAGGATGTGACTAATGACTGGAGGCAGTGTAGCCTAATGGAAAGAGCAATGCTTTGTTACACAGAAAACTTAGGTTTTACCCTTGACAAGTCATGTGAATCTGGACTCAGTCCCTCCTGTCATCATTTCAGAAACAACTAATCATTGTGAGACATTATGGCGTAAGTGGAAAGAGAATTAGCTTTTGGGGAAAAAAAAAAAAAGAAGATCCTAAGTTTGAATCCTGATTCTGCTGCTTACTGGGTGTCTTCCCTTAAGCAAGTCATTTTAATTCTCTGAGGCTCAGTTTCTTCATCTGAAAAGAGGGGATAATAAAACTTAGTCTCTGTCTCTCATGGGCTTGCTCTAGGGAAACCAAATCAAAATATTACTATTCTTCACTTTTCAGCCTCTTTTCCATTGACTGCCAGGCAGCAGCGAGAGAGGATCTTCTCCCTTCAGACCAAGTCTGAGTGGCAAGGGTGACCTGGCAGCTGAGCCTCACCGCAATGTTGCCCAGGAATGACATCAGAAAAGAAGCAAAGGGTATGGGTTTCTATGGTAACCAGAATGCCCTGGGCTGCTTAAAAAAAAATAATAAAATAAAATAAGCCATCTGATTCTAATTATCGTGCTGGAGATTTAGATATCTACATTTTGGTCCAAGCTGGTGATGTGTCTACTGTGTCATTATTATTTTTCCTAAGACATTAGTATTAGGAAATTAACTCCTACATTGCTGGTGTACTGGTATACTGTTGCTATAATTACTAGTAACAACAACAACAATAATAACCAGAATTATATACTAGAGGGACAACTAGGTGGAGCAGGGAATAGAGCACCAGCCTGGGAGTCAGGAGGGCCTGAGTTCAAATCCGGACTCAGATACTTAATAGCTGTGTGACCCCACCCCCCCACCCCAGCAAGTCACTTAATCCTGATTGCCTCCTAAAAAAAAAAATCGCATACTAGAAACTCACTAGTCTTTATAAATAATGAAGAGCAAATCCTTGAACTACCAATACACACCTCAAAGGCAACTAGGTGGTGCACAGGGCAATGTTAGATTCGAATTCAAGTCCTGGCTCAAATGCTTACTAGCAGTATGACCTTGAACAAGTTATTAATTTCTCTGAACTTCACTTTCCTCATTTGTAAAATGAGGTGCTGAGACTCAATGGTTTCCAAGGTCTTTTCCAGTGCTAACTTTGTGATCTCATGACCCTCAAAGTTCAACAGACAAACTCTTCTGGACTGAAGCACTATCAGTTATCACCATTATCATTACTACTTAGACACAGTATGGATACACAATGCTGCCATATTGGACACTTATAATCTCTAAACTATGTGAAATAAAAAGCTCTAAAAATATAGAGACTTAGTAGAGGAAACCAAAACCATGCAGGAAAAGGAAGATGGTACACGTCTGCTTCCCATCTCATCCACTACTGGAGTTAGCTCAATGACGCTTTCAATTAAGCCTACAAAAGAGGAACCTGAATCCCAATACTTTTAAAAATCCATTATACGATTCTCCCGCATAATCCAACATGAGGAATGATAGTAGGTCATTGATTTGTCCCAGGATGGTTTCTCTTTGAGCTCCGCTGAACATAGAGAGAAAATGAAATAATATATAATTCATACTTACATATTATTTATGATAAATAAATAATAACCACCATCTACATACTGCTTAAAAGTTTGTAGAGTGCTTTCTGGGCATGGTCTCATTTGAGCCTTACAACAATCCTGTGAGGTAGTTGCTACAAGTGTTGTTATTTTCATTTTACAGATGAGGAAACTGAGGCCTAGAGAAGTAAAGTGAAGTGAAATGTCCAGGGTCATACAGCTAGTGTTTGAGACAGGAGTCAAACCCAGGTTTTTCCTGACTCTAGCCCTTTATCCACCATACCATGTCGTCCTCTCATTGCCTCCATTTCAGATCTGAGGAAACTGAGGCGATCTTGCTCATGGTCATGCAGCTGACGTCAGAGGTGAGATCTGAACCCAGGTCTTCTTAATTCAGTGTCCAGACTGACTCAGAAGATACTGGTTCCAAGGACTGGTGGCTGAAGATTTTCTAGAACTGGGCTGGGAGGAAGCGGATAGGGATCATATGTGTGTTCCTTCGCTGTTCCATCTCTTTCTCCACCTTCTAGTGCCCCTAATCACACAGAAACCCATTCCTTCAAAGTACCCAGAGCCTAAACTCCCTCATGTACCAAGTGGGCCTAGCCTGCTGGGAGGACAGTCTTACCTTGCCTAGTGCCTGGCTTTTAATAATGAATGTATAGCATAAACAATGGTAGCTTAGAACAGAGAAGGGCCCTGAAAGATTAGAGGCAGTGTGGTACGACAGAAAAAGCAGTGTGTATTCAGAAGACCTGGATTTAAATGCCACTTCTGATGCTTACTACCCATGTGATCTTGGGGAAGTCTCTTGATCTCAATTTTCTTCTTTGTAAAATGAGATGGATTGGATGGAATCAGAGGGCCCTTTTTAGCTCAGTTTTGCCTTCTCTATAGCTCTTTATTGTCCTTAATTTCAGGCCAGGCTGAAGAGAACTCAGCCCGATCATGCGGTCGTTCTACCTTGCTTATACTGGGCATCCCAGCAAATCCTCACAAAACCCTTGCCTTACTTATTCTTGTCTCTCTGTGGGGCTTGCTAGTATAGGCATTCTGTCTCATAGTAAAGCTTAGGTTAATACTTGATTTATGGGGTATAAGAACTAAAAGGGAACTCTGAGGTCACACAGAGCAACTTCCTCATTTTGAAGAAGAGGAAATGTGTTTGGTGTGATACAGCCCGTCAATGAAAGAAGGCTTCATTCTCACGAGCAGTGGGTAGAACAGAAAGGTCTGCCCTTCAGGGCTTAGAACTGGAAGATCAGAGACTTTGATCTTAGTTCCAATTTCTCTGCTACCTCACCTTTCCTCTATCCCTTCTGTTCCTCTAGCTGAATCAATCAATCAGTCAGCTATTATTTAGCATGTGTGCTAGGAGCTGTGCTAAGTGCCGGGATTACAAAAGCAGAATTGAAACATTGCCTGCCTTCAAGCAGCTTACACTTAAACAACATGTATAACAATAAATATATACATGCGAAGGAAGAGATACTTCTGAAAGAGAGATATTAACATCTGTGAAAATGCTGGTCCTTAGCCCCCCTCCAAAAAGGTCCCAAAGAAGAAATGCTCATTCTTCCATAGTTACAGTAGATGAATGAATCTCTAGAGAGCCCAGAGCAGAGCTATAACTAAGGTAGAGGAACTGGGGCTTGTCCCACAGCGCAAGAGTTTAGAAGGTATTGACAGCACTTATACTCTTTCAGCTGTGTATAAACAACTGTATTCAACTCAAACTAGCTAGGAAGAATAATTTGTTAAAATAGAAACTGGAGCTACCGGATGGGATGCTTTCCTTTCTCTTTTCCTGTGTGAGGTCATTGCATTACATGAGAGTTCCTCCTCTCCCCTTTAAAAAATGCCAGTGAGGATTGGGTTTTTCTTACTCTTTTTGGACAGTCAGTCCACATTTATTAGGCACCTGGGTGCAGATCCCTGCTTTAGAGTTAGAATGTGGAAAAGGGAGAGGGTCTTTAGAAATAATGATTAAGTCCCAGAATCTGAAAAGGCATAGGGCTGATAGACAAAGGTCTTGTCAGCCTCTGACAAGACTCATCAAGACTTACAGCTTTGGTCGAGGGGTACAGTAGGTAGGCATTTCTTCCCACTGTATAAAACCTTAGTTAATCAAAGATCTTGGGGATGACCAGTCAGGAGGTGACTATTTGACTGACTGAAAAGTATTTGACTTGATGTATACAAAAACACCCCCAGCATTACTTTTTTTTGGGGGGGGCAATTGGGGTTAAGTGACTTGCCCAGGCTCATACAGCTAGTAAGTGATTGAGGCTGGATTTGAATTCAGATCCTCCTGACTCTAGGGCCAGTGCTGTATCCACTGCGCCACCTAGCTGCCTCCAGTATAACTACTTTAAATCATGTTTCTCAATCGTTTTTCAGTTATGTCTGTCTATTTGTAACCCCATTGGGGTTTTCTTGGTAAAGATACCGGAGTGATTTGCCATTTCCTTCGCCAGCTCATTTTACAGATGAGGAAACTGAGGCAAACAGGTTTAAGTGACTTACCCTAGGTCACACAGCTAGTAAGTATCTGAGGTCAGATTTGAACTCGGGAAGATGAGTTTTCCTGACTCCAAGCCTGGTGCTCTGTGCACGATGGCGCTACCTAGCAGCCTCCCTTTTAACTATAGGTTTCTTCTTCTGCACTGAGCCAAGTGAAGGCGAGCCAGTCTGCAATTAAGATGCGGTAACTCAGTATGGAGTTGTAGAAATGTTTTATCTAGAGTGACAGGGTTTGGGTTCAAATCCTAATTTTGACACTATACTTACTACCCATGTAATTCTAGGCAAGTCATTTTACTTCTCTGGACCCAGGCTGAACTCCATGACCTCTAAGATTCTTCCTACCTCTAAATCTCTGATGCTTTAGAAATAGAAGAACATCACCTAAAATTCAGTTGAATAACATTTTGAGGAAGTAACCTGCTTATAAAATGAAGCAGGCCTTATGCACAAAACTGATTCCGCATGTAGAAATGTATGGGCAAGCCACCTTATTCAATCAACAAGTATTTACTAAGAGCCTACTATATGCTAAGCACTGTTCTAGACACTGGGGATACAATGACAAAAATTCCTTAAAGGAACTTAGATTCTATTGGGGAGACATATGTAATATGATATACTCAATATAATGAATGCCTTTTTATTTATTCATATTATATTATATATTATATAATATTATGTTATATATAATAAGTGTTACATAGTAACTTGAGCGCTGGCTTTGGAATCAGGTAGACTTGAATTCAAATTTTGTCTCTGAAACTTACTAGATGAGTGATCCCATGCAAGTCATTTAACTTCTCTGGGCCTCAGTTTCCTCATCTGTTAAATAAGAGGGCTGGACTTTATGGCTTTTAAAGTATCTTTTCCATTTTAGATTTATAATTCTTTTTTTGTCAAATATTTTATTTTCCCCCAATTATCTGTAAAAACAATTTTTAAACATTCATTTTTTTTAAATTTTGAATTCCAAATTCTCTCCCTCCCTTCTTCCCCTCCCCTCTCATTGTATGCAAAACATATTTCCATATTACTCATGTTGTAAAAGAAAACACAGACCAAAAAAAACCCAAGAAAAATAAAGACAGTTTTTAAAAAGTATGCTCTTTCTCTGGAGGTGAATAGCACTTTTCATAACTGTCTTGGATCATTGTATTGCTGCAAATAACTAAGTCATTCACAGTTGATCATCTTTATAATATTTCTGTTACTGTGTACAATGTTCTCCTGGTTCTGTTCACTTCACTTTGCATCAGTTCATGTAAACCTTTCCATGTTTTTCTGAGAGCATACTGGTTGTCATTTCTTATAGCACAAGAGTATTTCTTTACGATCATATACCATGATTGTTTAGCCATTCCCTAATTGAGGGGCATCCTTTTAGTTTCCAATTCTTTGCCACTAAGAAAGAGCTGCTATACATATTTTTGTACATATAGGTCC